TTGATATACCTTTATTTTTTATTTATTTATATGTGGTGCTGAGGATCAAACCCAGTGCCTCACACATGTGAGGCAAGTGCTCTGCCACTGAGCCATGATCCCAACCCCCCCAATGTCATTTCTTATAGAAATAAAAAAAAAAAAACAATCATGAAATTCATTTGGAAAAATAAAGAAACCCAGAATAGCCAAAGCAATCCTTAGCAAGAAGAGTGAAACAGGAGGCATCACAATACCAGAACTTAAAATATACTACAAAGCTATAGTAACAAATGACATGGTATTGGCACCAAAATAGACGTGTAGACCAATGGTACAGAATACAAGACATAGAGACAAACCCAAATAAATACAGTTATCTCATACTAAACAAAGGCGCCAAAAAACATACATTGGAGCAAAGATAACCTCCTCAACAAATGGTGCTGGGAAAAAATGGAAACCAATATGCAGCAAAATGAAATTAAACCCCATCTCTCACCTTGCACAAAACTCAACTCAAAGTGGATCAAGGACCTAGGAATTAGACTAGAGACCCTATGCCTAATAGAAGAAAAAGTAGGCCCAAATCTTCATTGTGTCAGATTAGGCCCTGACTTCCTTAACAAGACTCCTGAAGTGTAAGAAATAAAATCAATAATCAATAAATGGGAACAGCATTTATGAGGGGAGAAAAGGAGATACAGTGGGACAAAAGGCAAGAAATCCCTGTGCTGGGTAGAGGTTGCCTACTTCTACCAGTGTCATGTCTTTTAGCCTCTGTTCCCTCTTCATCACACCAAAGGGAACCTCCTGGGACCAGCATCTGGATTTCCTTTTCCAAAGAGGAGAGGGTATTACAGAGGGCTCTATTTGTGTGTGTGTGTGTGTGTGTGTGTGTGTGTGTTTTGCTGGGGATTAAACCCAGGGCCTTGTGCATGAAAGGCAAGCACTCTACCAACTGAGCTATATCCCTAGCCTGAGGGCTCTATATAGAATTTAGAATAATATGTAAAAAAGAAAGGTTATTGAAGATTTGAGAAAAGAGGGCTGTGGCTGTGGCTCAGCGGTAGCGCATTTACCTGGCATGTGTGAGGTACTGGGTTTGATTCTCAGCACCATATATGAAAAAAATAAAGGTCTATAACAACTAAAAATATATTTAAAAAAAAGATCTGGAAGAGATCAAGGGAAGGGGGAGGTTGGGAGGGAAGGAGGAATTGAGGGAATTAGAGAAAATAATTCTGTTAAAAAAATGAACTGCTCTGTTATAATTTCACATTCAGGCTGACCCAAGCTGATGTCAACCATTCATTCAACTACCCTTCCACCATGACCCCTCTCTGACCCCCATGAAGTTTCTCCAGCTCTGAGGAGGTAGTTCTTCTTTGCTTACAAAAAGGCAGAAAGATCTAGGGAGAGAATCCAGGCACCACCCCACCTCTTTCTAGTACTGTCTTTTTGTAAGCAGTGGCAGCAAGACCACTTGAATTCTAGCAATTTGGGTTAGAAAAGGGAGACAAGAAGGGTTAAAACAAAGGTAACTTCATCTTGGCTGGAACATACCTGATTTGTCTTAAGATAATATCAAAGAGTTATATGCACCCCTGTTTTACACAGCTGGGGCAATCTGGGAAACTGAGGCAGTGTGAAGACCTGCCCCCCAAACCCAGATTCTTGAAATCAAGTCAGAAAAGCTTTCAGACATGTTGTTCAGAGTAACAAGAATGAGTTTATTGAAGGGATAGGAAAGGGAAAGAGGACACTCTCAAGGGAGAAAATGGGTCCTCTCAGAGAGGAGAGAGACAACTTGTCTCTCCTGCATTCCAATTTTATTTGGGGGTCCCAGGGAAGTTTCCAGAGTCCTGCGCAAGTCCGCCTCTTGACTTTTGACTGACAGCAGGGTGACAACAGACTTTCAAGTACATATTGCCATGACAATGCTAGGTTCTCTTGGTCCATGCTGAGCAGTTCTAATTAGATTTTTTCTTAATCATTTTTTATAGGTTTTGTGATTAGGAGGAATTATCCTTATCTTCCAGAATCTGGTCTGTGAAAAGGGTCACAAATCTTTCTCCCTTCAAAGTACCTTTTTGAGTTCCTCTTATCAATGTTATTTCCTGCCTGCATTTTCTTGCAGATAACAGGAAGTTTTGTGACATACCCTGTCCGTGTAGGCTGGCAGGGCAGCAGTTAAATTGCTTTTTTTGGCAAAGAAAGCAGGTGGGGTGAAGAAAGTATGTGAAGGTCAGCACAGTGGTTCCATTTTATAGAATTATTATCTTAATCTCACTTTCCCACCATCCTCATCTGTTTGTCCCCTAACACTGGAGCCAGAGTCTGGTTGTAAACCCCTACATAGGACTCTTAATGGTTCTATCTATCTATTTTCCTTCAGGAAAACCAATAGAGTTACTGAAAAGCAATCATGGATTATGAATCAAAGTGGCTGCAGTCATGAGAAACTGAATCATAACAACTCAGCCTCAGTTACCTCATCTGTAAGATGAAGCCAATCACACCAACCTCTTAAATTCATTGTGAAGATTGTGATAGTGAATAAAAAGCAGAGCAGTGGGGGTTCTCTCATTCTATCAAGGGCACGAGCTATCATTCAAAAATTAGCACTTGTGATTTTTGTCACTTCCATTTATGCCTTCTTTTCCCCCCACTTCAACAAATGCAGAAAATAAGTGCTCACTATGAGCCAAGCATGACTTAAGAGGAAACAGTAGATGTATTACCCACGGTTTACCCCAGGGGTACAAATGCCCCAAACATACTGATTACCAATCCCAAAGAAGGAACTTGGAGGACTCAACAGAGAGGTTTTGGACATTAGATTATTCAGGGTCTCCTTGGTGGCTGTAGGCTAGAGGGCCTACACACCTCCATGGGGTGCCACCCCACACCTCAAGCAAGAGTATATGGGATAGGTTGCATGCTTACTGAACAGATGGATTTCTTCAGATGTTTCTTTTTTTTTTTTTTTTTGAGAGAGGGATAGTGGGGAATAAACTCAGGGGCACTTGACCACTGAGTCACATCCCCAGTTCTATTTTGTGTATTATTTAGAGACAGGGTCTCACTGAGTTGCTTAGTACCTCTTCATTGCTGAAGCTCTTCAGATGTTTTACGAGTACACTGTTTTACTTTACAACCAAAGTCACTCTGCTTTGTTCCTCACCTAAAGATTGGAGACCAGGGAAATAGGCAGTTCCCCGGTTCATTTCCTTCATTATCATGTTCGTTCATGCTTATTTTACTGCCCAGAGGAGGAGCCTTCTCAGGTAAGGACTAGTGTTTACTCAAACACCCACTCTCTTAGAGGCCACAATCTTTGCAGAGAGCACAGGGCACTGTTAAGGCTCCTCTGAAGGTTGTCAGACTGGAATCAGTAAGGAGGGCTTCCTGAAGGAAAAGGACACTTGAGCTGTAAAAAGAAGGATGAAAAGAAATTGACTTAGGCAAGAGAGGGAGGAAAGTTCTTGGGATAGAAGGAATAGTATGTTCAAAGGGCTTGGATGGAGATTGGTGTGGCCAGAACATCACAAAGAGGTAGTAAACAGCCTACCTCTACAGTGGAGATGTGTCTGACTTCTTCCACATGTGACTGTTTAAACATGGGCACTGACTGTGTGCCCAGTGCTGTTCTTGACAAAAAGTAAGAGATTATAATGTCCTTGAGTAGTGAGATTGCTGGGGAGAGCCTGGCCATTAACAAGATAAACAAAGTAGGGTTGTAGTACTCTGAAGAAAAAATAATACAGAGATGGGAGGATAAGTATTCAATATTCAATGGAATAGGCAAGAAAGCCCTCACTGAGAAGGTGACATGCAAGTAAAAACTCTGCTTAATTAGGTAAGGGAGTGAGCCATGGATATTTCTGAGAAAAAAATGTGAATTTTCTTTTTTTACTTTTTTGGGTGAACCCTCATGCCTGCTAAGCATATGCTCTACCCTTGAGCTATACCTTCAGCCCAGTACAGTGACTTTTAAAAAAGATACAGCATTATTTTAATAGCTGGAGTCAAGACTGGCTGCTAAATAGATTTCATCTCTAGAAACACTGAATGGTTGAATTGAGGCTTCTGGAGACATGGTACAGAGTAACCTTGAGGCAGCATTTGCATTTCAGAACAGATGGGCTAGCAATGTCTGCTGTGGGAGAAGAAAGCAGGGAGTGGAGATCAAGATGCCACCAACTTGAGCTGGGGATGTAGCTCACTAGTGGAGCCCCTGCCTAGTATGAGAGATGTCTAGGGTTTAATCCCCAGCACTGTTTAAAAAAATAATAAACCACCAACTTGGCAAGATGGCTCAAGAAAAGAATGATGGATGGACTTGATCAAATTTCTCTGGAGAATGTTTAAATAAATTAAGGTTCCAAACAACCAAGATTTTAAAAACCATGTTCTTTTAAATTGTGAGATGATCATTACTTACAGAGATGACTGTAAGCTCTGAATAACTAGACCATGAATGAGATGCTGAGAACTTTCTAGGAGTAAAGTCCATGAGCTTTAATGCATGAACTTTAGTTTAAGTGTTTAATTGATCGATTGCTTAAGCTATTTGGATGCCTTTTATTGTGATCAAATACATAACAAAAATTTTAGGTATATAGTTAACGTGGCATTAAATACATTCACATTATTGGATAACCATCGTCACCATCCATTTCTAGAATATTTTCATCTTCTTAATCTGAAACTCTATACCCACTAAATATAACTCCCCATTCCATTCCCCCATCCTTTCTTTTTTTAACTGAAATTTCCAGTTTTGCATTTTTGGGGTGTGAGTATGTATGTATGTGCTTTGCTGAGAATTTAACTGCAGGCCTCATGCTGGCTAGTCAAGCACTCTTCTACTAAGCTGCCCTTAAAATTCCCAGTTTTTAATCTTGCTGACAGAATATTTTTTGGATAGGTTTCTACCCTTCACTCCATCCTGTTACAAACCTCATACAGGTCCCAGCTGTGTGTGTGAACTTGAGACCATTTTTGTGTTTCTACAGGGACCCATTCACTTCACTACCACTACCTAACCCTATCAGAGCCAGGCCCAGGCCTCCCCAAGTTTCTGGCTGTGGGCTATGTGGACGACCAGCCCTTCATCCGGTATGACAGTCGCAGAGGGAAGGCTGAGCCTCAGGCCCCGTGGATGGCACTAGTGGATGCCCAGTACTGGGAGACAGAAACCCAGAAACAGAGGGCCTGGGAGAAGGTGCAGCAGGTGGAGATGTGGACGGTGATGGGCTACCACAATCAGAGTGGCGGTATGTGGATAACCCTAGCTGCTCATGGGAATTCTTTGGGTAGCTTTTTTTTTTTTTTTTTTTTAATGCCAATGCCCACCCCACCATTTGGAGGGCCCATAGGTGGCAGGCTTCTCCCTGGCTCTCTAGACTCTGGCCTTGTGGCCTTCAATAACCAGGGCCTTTTGGCCTGATATACAGGTACACACAGTGCTCAGCGCATGTTTGGCTGTGAGATCCGGGAAGATGGCAGGTCCAGCAGCTTCTGGCAATTTGGCTTCGATGGACAGGACCACCTGTCTCTGGACCTAGAGACACTGAGCTGGGTGTCAGCAGAGCCAGTGGCTGTGCGGACCAAGCGCTGGTGGGAGATGGAGCGCTGCTATGCAGAGTATGACAAGGCCTACCTGGAAAGCCTCTGCCTCATCTCCCTGCACAGGTATCTGGAGCTGGGAAGCCAGAGCCTCACGCGGATAGGTAAGGCCCAGACAGCAGCAGCCATGCAAAGAGTAAGCCATATACTCCCATTCACAAGAGCTGTCCCATTTGACAGAGAAGCCTGGGAGAGAAGAAGGGATAAGCTGTGTCCTCTTGGAAGAGCTCACCAAGAGGACACAGCTTATCCCTCCCTCCAAAGGGAGGGCCAATTAGCCAACAGTTTCCTCACACAAAACTGAACCTTGATCCCTTGCTCCAGGTGTGATAGAGTAAGGAATTCTGAGCTCTCTGCTGACCCACAGCATTGTCTTGAGCAATGAACACCCTGTCTGTAGGCATACCCTAATCCAATTCAGTTCTGATACTGTCTACTTTGAAATAGTGCCAGATCACAGATTGAGGGCTAAGTCCCCAGGTCTACTTTCCCCACCTCTATTTTAGATGCCAGTCACAAATCCTATGTTGTTTTACTGTGCTTCTGACTGACCAACCAGCTATAAATTGAGTTTCTCACAACCCACTCCTTGGGTTTCGTTAATTTGCTTTGGTGGTTCACAGAACTCAGGGAAACATTTATGTTTATGGGTTTATTATAAAGGATGTTACAAAGGATACAGATAAAGATATGTTTAGAATGTGGAAAGAGAGAAGAGGTGTGGAGCTTCCATGCTGTCTCTGGGCCTGCCACTCTCCAGGAATCTCTATGTGTTCAACAATGTGGAATCCCTCCAAACCCTGTCCTTTGGGTTTGTATGGAGACTACATTACATAGGCACTAATGATAATAGACTGGGTGGGGAAACCCCCTATGGCCTGCCTGCTGCAGCATTTTTCTGGCCTCTCTGTACAGCATTCTTCCCTCCAGGATATGAGGAAGGCCCCTTCTGGAATGAGGATGGTCTGATCTATTGGACAAAGATAGGTCAGAGAATTTCTTTATGGTCAGCTTCAATACAGATGGAGAAAGATTAGAGTTTCTATAACCAGACATGGGGAAAAGAAATTCTAGCACACAATCCAGGATGGGACCATGCTAGGGTATTGGACCTTGGGCTTCTACCATGAGACATCTCATTACAATCGTGGCTAGAAGAGCTGGCCCTGGAGGCTGAGCACATGGAGAAATGCCCCAGTGGAGATGTCTTGGGAAGGGAGTTATGAGCCAGGACATGCTATATTTCAGAAGAGCATAGTAATAATGATGCCCACTTTCCAAAACTCCATATTATGGTATGTTACACAATGATTGTTAAATTCTCACTTAGCACAAGATATGGTCTACATCCTTTACCAAGATCATCTTATTTTGAACAACCCTGAAAAAAAAAAAAAAAAAGAATGATTAATCCCCCATTAAGCTTTGAGAAAATGAAGAGTTAAAGGGCCTCCCTCAGGTCACCAAGCTGGAAAGAGGTCATGCGGGGCTTCAAACTCCTCCCCATCCTAGTTTTAAGGTGAGGAAAGTATTATCATCCTTGCCTTCATTTAACAACCACTTGTTAGGTACCTACTATGTGCTGGAAGTCAAAGAGTAAGTATATAAAGTCTCTGGGGAAAAAAAAATCCTAGGATCTATGAGGGAAAAAGGTGGTGGGTATGGCCACATAGGATACAGATAAAGATATGTTTGGAATGTGGAAAGAGAGAAGAGGTGTGGAGCTTGGGAATAGGAAGTCACATCCCCTTTGGAAATTTTCAGGGCACTGCCCCTTTAGGATGATTAATAATGGGTCAGCTATGCCTTACAAAGTTCCAACATGAGTGCCTCCCCTAGAGAGATCCTGTCCCTATCTTCTTCCTGTCCTCCACACTTGGAAGATCTCCATGGAGATAAAACATGAGGAATGAATGAGCAGAGTAGGTGCTTACCAGCATTGTTCTCTCCTTTTCCTGCAGAGCCTCCCATGGTGCAGGTGACAAAGCACATCACCCAGGATGGGACCATGCTGAGATGCTGGGCCTTGGGCTTCTACCCACCAGACATCTCACTGAGCTGGTGGCTGGGTAGGAAGGAGCTGGTCCTGGAGACTGAGTATGTGGAGACACGCCCCAGTGGGGATGGCACTTATCAGACATGGACATCAGTTCGGGTGCCAGCTGGGAAGGAGGCCTGGTATACCTGCCACGTGCAGCATCCTGGCCTGAAGCACACCCTCACTGTGGCATGGGGTGAGGAGCTAACCTTGAGGAGGAGTCAAGATGGGGAAGAGGGGGGTGCCAGGACACCTGTAGACAACCCCATGGTCTTGGACTCTTTTCTCTGCCTTCCTTAGACTCATCCTCTATTGGCAATGACAGTGGCAATGGCACACTACTTGGTGGGATCATGGTCCTGGTCTTTGTTGGGCTGGTAGCTGTAATTGTGATACTGAAAAAGAAGTGTCTTCAAGGTAAGCGAGGAAGAAACAAAGGTGTCAGAGGTCCTCCTGGCTGATGCAGCCCTATAAAAAAAAAATGAGACCATTTAGTCTGATCTTGGAAAGGGCCCAGAAAGAGAGGCAGAGGGCAAAGGTGGGAATTCAGGACCACTTTGCTTCCCTTCTCCCACCCCTGCCCACCACCCACCTCATCTGTTTTGTGTTCTTTATTCCCCACACCAGAGAGAAGTTTTACAGGCAAGCTCCAGTTTATTTGTAGGCTGGGTCGGTTATATGTGGAAAGGAAGCCCCAATACTCCCAAGCATGGCTAAGATGCCTTAGAACCAAAGATGGTAGAGGCATTGGGACAGGCACTTCCTGTCTCTAGCCCTGGCCTCAGCCCCTGATCCCTCCCACTATCTTAGACCATCCCTGGCAGGAGCCAGCAATTCCAAGCATTGGTACGGAGAAAACAATCTGTCATTTCCCTCCTTCCTCCCTGCAGGTGGAGAAGATAATCTTAACTCCCAAAGCCCAGCAAGGACAGAAGTTGCTCAGACTCTCTGCTGATTAAAATTCCCCATTACAAAATCAAGGAAGTATTTTGTAGGGGCTTTTTGGGTCCCCTAGAGAAACCCTAAACTAACTGGCTGATAGCTGTGATCTGAACCAAAGAGTCCATCCTATCTTCTTATTTCTGCCAGCCTCCTTATACATGATATCTGCAACTGATATGGTTTTTCCATTCCTGAAGTCCTTCTAAAAAAATCTAATCATTTCAGGGCTCAGGATGTAGTTTAATTGTAGAACATTTGCCTAGCATATATAAGACTACGGGCTCCATCCCCCAGCACTGCAAAAAAATAATAGCAAACAAAAAATCTCAACATTTCCTGTTGGGGGCGGGTAGAAGGGCAGTAATAACAGTTCACCTCAGATCTGTTTCCCACTTGACAATTTGCAATGATATATATATATATATATATATATATATATATATATATCTATCTCACACCTGAGCCTCATGGGCATCCTGTGGATTTGGCTACATTATTCTTATCCCCACTTCCCTGACTTGGAAACTGAGGCTCCAATCAGTTAAGGGAAAACTGGAACAACAGTTAGGAGGAATTATAGGGACAATGTCTTGGCATCCATCTGTTAGTACTGAGAAGAAATTTATGAATATGTGCCTATTTTTAGAAATATGTTCTTGTATGTATATATGACCCCCTTTTGTAAAGAAAATAGAGTGGTCAAGGTGACAGTGTCTTGTTTATTTGGAAAACTCAAAAGGACAGATGCCCAGGAGTCTATTATTTACCTGCAGGCAGCTGGAGGATGGGAAACAACACACAGTCCTATTTTATTTCCTGTCCTTTTGAATGGTTTGAGTTTTGACAGTGAACACATGTTACTTTCTACAATAAGGGAAATATCTGTTTTTGCTGTGTCATATGGAAATGTTTAAGTGTGAAACTCAGGAAAGGCTCTCAGCCTCACCTTCCAATAGGGCAAAACCCTCATGTCTCCTTTGATTATGCAACAATAGCTGGGTGTGAGAGCACACACCTGTCATTCCAGCTACTGGCAATGCCAACTACTCAGGAGGCTGAGATAGGAAGATCATAATTTCAAGGTCAGACTGTACACCTTAGTGAGATCCTGTCTCAAAATAATTTTTAAGAAGGGCTGAGGATATAGCTCAGTGGTAGAGCACTTGCCTAGTGTGCACAAGGCCCTGGGTTCAATCTCAAGTTCCAAGAAAACAAAAACAGTTATCGTCTCATAGGCTATGTGATATGCAAAGGGCTGGTGGGTTGGAATGGAGAGGAAGTCAGGGACCCGGGCAAGTAAGTGTTCCACTGTTGTGGGGTTGTTGGATTTCAGTGGATAATGGACTCATGGAGGAGCCTCCTCTGCCTCTTCTTCATCATGTTTGTCCTCTAGCTAGAAGCCTACCGGATCCACAGGACCCATGACAGCCTTCTTACAGGAACTTCTGAAACTTCCGTGTTCTACCTCTCTGGGAAACCAAAGCCCAAGAATGTGAAAGACTTTGATACTACAAAAAATTTTCCAGCCTGTGCTGTGGCCTGCAGGGCCTCAACAGTGAGCTAATAATTTAGATCTTATTGAAGGATGGCACTTAAATGTCTGTCTCAGTGACACCAAGTTTTTCTATGTGTATTATCAAGCAAGGTTCTAAGCACTTTACTTTCATTAAGCTGTTTAATCCTCCTAACATGCATATGTGGAAGAATAATCTTGTGCTGTGGGTGAAAAACCTGAGGTCCAGAGAGGGTGAGCCATAGGCAGAGCTGTAATGAGACCAGGCAGTCTGACTGCCATCTGTGTGATTCACCACTGCACCAAGTCTCAAGGACAACTATGCTGTTCTGTAAATGTGCAGTTAAGTACAGGTCTCCAATCCTTTACCTGCAATTCTAAAATGCAAAAACATCCAAAAGCCAAGGGTTTTTTCCTAATTTGGGCATCAAACCTGACCCGAACTGAAGTGAGATCATTTATACCCTTAATTTCTTCTAGTGTGCCTTTTTGCAATTCTCTACTGAAATGCTAATATATTCAACATCTGCCAGATAGAATCCTTTCTTTTTTTTTTATTTATTTTTTTAATTGGTTGTTCAAAACATTACAAAGCTCTTGACATATCATATTTCGTACATTTGATTCAAGTGGGTTTTGAACTCCCAATTTTACCCCAAATACAGATTGCAGAATCACGTCGGTTACACATCTACATTTTTACATAATGCCCTGTTAGTAACTGTTGTATTCTGCTACCTTTCCTATCCTCTACTATCCCCCCTCCCCTCCCCTCCCATCTTCTCTCTCTACCCCATCTACTGTAATTCATTTCTCTCCTTGTTTATTTTCCCATTCCCCTCACAACCTCTTATATGTAATTTTGTATAACAATGAGGATCTCCCTCCATTACCATGCAATTTCCCTTTTCTCTCCCTTTCCCTCCCACCTCATGTATCTGTTTAATGTTAATCTTTAGAATCCTTTCTAATATGCAAGGAATTGTAAATACATCTGACCCAAAGGTTTCAGGTAAGGGATTATGGACCTGTATTAATAAAGTTTTACAGTAATAAACATGTTTTATTTTCACTGATAAAAACAGAGTTCTCTGGCTGGATGGTTAGAGTGGAGTCTAGCTAAAAGGCGAGTCTGGGCATGAGTGCCTAGGTACACCCAACCCTTCTTCCCTGAGTAGAAGGGGTGGCAGAAGCAGGTTGGAGGAAGCTGCTGGCTGTCCAGTCTTATTTCACATTGATACAGCTGTTTCACCTTTCTGTGCCTCTCCCAAGACTTCAGACTCCTCTGGATCCCCAGACCTACAGCTGATTTAATCTACCCCAAAACCCTACCCCCTCAAAGTTAGATCCTTTATGGGTAAGGATAGGACTTAGGCTGGCATCTTGCATGGCTTCTTTCAGTACAGGGGGTTTATAGAAGGTCAGGGAGCTTTTAGACTGAGGTGGACCTGTCCCCCTAGGATTGGTTTACATAAGTGAGAGCCCTGGGAATAAGGACATGGAAGTTCCTATCTAGATCTGTACTTTTCCATGTCCAGGACCCTAAATGCCTCTAGTGCTGAGGGCTTATAGGACCATCTCTTCCAATGAGGAAAAAGGGCAGAGAGGCCATGGGCTGTACAGAGGACAGCAGCAGACCTCAGGCTGCATACCACTGTAAGGATAAGGTCACTTCAGTCTTCCTAATGGCCTTATTGGCTACTTATTTTAAAAACTGCCTGAACACATCTACAACTATCCTTGATATCTATCAGCAACCCTTGCTTTGGTACATCACTGCCTTTTTATGCTGGCTTTCCCCACCTTGGTGGTCAGTGCAGGCCCCTCAGCTCACATGGCCTTCTCACCTAGGCATGACACCTGCATGGAAGCCACAGGACCTTAAGGGCAGGGGGATGGTGGACAGAAGAGCTCTGACTAGAAGGAGAGCAGATAGCCACTGTAGTAGCCTCCTGGCCTAAAGGACTTTCTTCCACTTAATCTTCAGTCTTTATCCTCCCACTTCTGGAGCATCCCTCATCCTAACTTCTTGTTCTCAAGAGTCCCCCAAGGCATCCCAGACAACATCTGCCAGACAGAATCCACCATTCCTCTTGCTGAGGTGAATGCTGTCCTGAGCTTCAGGCAGTGTCTACTACTTAACTGGATTATGAGACCCTTGGCAACTGGACATGACTTTGACTAATTTTTTAATTGTATTTTACTTAGAGTTTAGTTCAGTTTTTAACCATGGACATATAAATACATTTTGGAATTTGAGGGATCCTAAAGCATCTCTATAAGCCTCTGATAACTTTGCACACTAATCCCCCACAACTTCTACCCAATTATCATACTGCCTCCCTCCCATAGATTTTGCAGCTTTTCTCTGTGTTTTAGTCAGCTTTCCCTCACTGGGAAAATACTTGAGAAAGACAACTTAAAAGGAGGATTTGTTTTGGGCTCGTGGTTCCAGAGGTTTTAGCCATAGTCACTTGGCCCCATTGTTTTGAGACCTATGGCATAGCAGAATATCACAGTGGAGGAAACCTCATGGCAGCCAGGAGGCAAAAAAGAGGAAAGGGCTGGGGTCCTAATGCGCCCCCCCCCTCAGGTGCACACACTGAGTCACCTAACTTCTTTCCACTAGGCCTCACATCCTAAAGTTCCATCACTTTCCAGCAACACCATAGACTGGCTACTAAGCTTTCAAAACATAGGTTTTTGAGGGACATCTAAGATCCAAACCATAACATTATGTAAACATGTCCCTGCAGGGAATGTTCTAAGACCCTAGCTTGAACATCAGCTTGCTGGGGGAACACCTGCTGCTGACTGGGTCACAGAACGTTCAAGGTACTCTGTGACTTTTGGTCAGGGAGTGGAAAGAAAGTGGGGAAAACTAGAGGACACTGCAGGACCCCCAAAATATATATAATTTTAGGAATGGGAGGTGAAGGGCAAGTTAGGAGGGCTCTGAGCA